CACTGAACCATTGTCAGTCCTTATTGGCCGTCGTGTGATGTCACCGTCGGGGTCGAATCACCTGCTGCATACAGCAGGGCGTGCAAGCAGAAACATTCTGCCTTTTACACCGCCGTCCTTAAAGCTTCACTTATTTCTTATTCGACCCTGCATCACCTCTGCGAATACTTTCCGCAGGTCCCAGCACAAGAATTTTTGGGTTTGTTCACCATGCACTGCACTCCGCTGCAGACTCTGTGCATCTGACCTCTGTAACCATAAGCATCTGGAACTCATGTTCAAAGCTTCAAAAACCAGTATATTCGGCCGCCTTTAATGTTGGCACGTGGTGGCGAGCAGGACAACCAGTGATTTTTGTTCATGCACCGATGTACGCTCTGTCAGAAGCAAGGATCCAGGTCACCAGTACTGTAAGTGAAATGACTGCCCTCTGGAACTCTTTCCGATTACGCAAGTCTGATGAAATGACTGCCCTCTGGAACTCTTTCCGCTTCCGATTACGCAAGTCTGGCTGGCGCAATCTGATACGCCGCGTTGGGTATTGTGTTGAGCCTTCGAGCAGAGGTGTCTGCACTTGATCGAATACCAACTGATATTCCCCTCTGTGCGGAATATCTGTAAAAGAATGTCGGGGAAGTGAAATCCATCCCACCTTGTTTACAGTGTCTGCCTACACTCCAACAGACTAGCTCTGAATCTTCCAAATACAGTTTCTATGGCCTCAATGTTCTCTTCTGCCATGGGCTGATGTCCAGGCGTTGTATTCATCTGTGTCTGGCACACTCAGGTAATCGGTTTGAGCGCTGCGGTGGTCCACTTGGATTAGACACGAGACACATGGACAGCGGCGAGCACCTGCTTCAGATGTGTGCCGATCGTAGACTGTTCTTTTTTAGTAACAATTTTCGGAACAGCGGAAATCGCTTGACAACCTAGTTCTTATTGATGGACAGCCCCGGATCCAAATATACCACCTTGCCATCATTTGCCGGTTGGTGCGTTGACCGCTGTCTGCTGCTCCTGTAATACCCGCGTGGAGTTCAACCATGCAGTCGTCCGCTGCTGCCCCTCATTGCCTTTTTCGAGTGGACGAAGAACGTACACACCTCGCTTAGCCATGAGGAGCTGGTGGACCGAGACATTAAACGAAGCTTGCTGGATCTGAAAAGCTGATGAAGAAGAGAAAGCAAAAATGTGCTGGTTATTTCGCTTGATTCGTTCGATTGGTCTTCGGAAGACTTTCCAATGAGACTATCAGACACACGTTGCTGTCTTATATTGACCAAAGGGGGGGTGTTTCATCATCATCATCATTATCAGATGCAAGAACCGCTTACTTGTCATACAGTGGTTATGGCTGTCACAGCTTCTTTCACCGATGATGTGGAGAGGCTGGGAGGTAGCTGCGCATTGGAGGCAGGGGTTTATAAATTGGCGCGTGGATACAAGACTTTTAAGTGAGCGGATTGGGAAGCGAGCTGCGCACTGAGGTCAATAGAGTATTTACACGAGCGCCGTTGAGGACGCGACTGAGCTGTCTGAACGTGTCTAACCATTGAGTTGGCCCGTTAAGGGCTCCTCGTCCACGGAGACCGCAGTGACCAACGTAGCTGAGTTTGATCAGTTAATCAATCGAGGGTGAGTTATTTTTCCCGAATAAAGTTCGACGAACTTCAGCATTGCTGATCCGGTGTTCCCACCAGACTTGGGCAATGCTCCGAAGACATCGGTGGTCAAACACTGAATGTCTTCTTACGTCCTCGGCGCGCAGGGGCCAGGCCTCTGATCCGTACAGTAATATGGAGCGCACCGCAGCATTGTAAACTCGACTCTTTATGGTTGAGCTGATTTCACGCCCACGCTACAAAATCAAGTCATCCAGCTGTAACACCCTTTCGGTGCCTGGATGCCATCCAACCCGAAAGAAGCACGAGGACTGGGACACTTCCAGGTTGCTCAAGCCTAGACAGTGGAAGTCGAGCGGCAGATGTCGGGTTCAAACCACTGGGACTGTTGCAGTTGCTTAGGTAAACAAATTTGCTTACCACTTCAGCGATTCTTCCGCATGCACGAGGCTAGATTTCGGGCCCACCCAGTCTTGCAGTAGCACTCTACACTTTGCAGGCGCATGCTAAACCGTGAGGAGGAATTAGATTATTTAATATTGTTTGCATTACCACGGGGTCGGATTCATCAAGAGCTATGTCGTCTGTGAGCGGATGCTCCTGTAGTATTCCGACCCTACAAGCACTAGGGGCTGATAGTGAATCTTTCATAATCGTATCGGTGACGAAGTTGAAGAGGAAAGGTGAAGGAGGACAAGCATGTCTGACACCGCTTGATGTGGTGAAGAGAGCTTGCCGCAGACTTTCACATGGTTGCGGGAATGGGCGCACAGTGCCTTGTGGAGGGTCAAGAATTTATGAGGGATACCTTTGTTTCACAGACGTCGATCAAAGTCCGCTTTCAGATAAAGAAACACAATCACTGCTGGTCGCTATTCCGGAATCTGTCGTAGGGTGAAGATATGATCGGTGCATCCTCTTGCAGGGCGGAACGCAGCTTGGTTTTCACGGATCCGTCTCTCCCTGTGTTCAGTCTACCTTCGATGGATCAGGCCCGAGAGCACCTTCGATACCATAGCTTACAAGCTGATACCACGGCGGTTTTCACATAGCGTCCGCGTACCCTTTTTGAAGATAGGGATAACTGTCCAACATATCTGCACTTTTCCGCAGGTCTTAAAACTGCGCCACCTTCTGACGGCCAACGATGTTTGGTTCTTGAATCAGATCTGTTTTTCACTCTGTTGATCGTCAGAAACTGTGGTGGTGTCTGGCGATGAATGTTGTCCCTTCTAAATAGTCTTTTATGAAGGTTTTGTCTGCTCTCGTGCACGCGTCCGTATCTACGTCAGATTCTTTCCTGAGTCCAGTGCATCCGCTAGAATCAGACAAGGATGTACTCTTTCGCCCTTCGGATTCGTAATTGATATGCTGCTTGGTTGTCCATTACTCGCCTTCAACACCTCGCGGATCGAAATACTCCCGGGTTGTTCGCTCACAGATATAAGGTACACCGACAATACTGCTCTTTGCACCTGTAAGCTGTAGGGAGCTGTTGCAAGATTGGGCAGTATGGAACCCAAACCTCATGTTTTCAGGTGAGCCTATCGATTTATTAGATGAGTTCGTTTACCTGGACAGCTGCGCAAGTCCCGGCGGTCTGGAGAAAGATGAAACCACTGTCCGAATTGGGAAGGCCAGGGCAGCGCTCACTACCTTCCAACATTTGTTGCGCCGACCTGATATCAGCTTAACTTTCAAGGGGGGAGTGCAAAATGTCGCGGATCGACCTGTCCACTTTATGGATCAGAGACGTGGCTGTTGCGTGTGGAAGATTTCGAAGGATCTCTATGTTTGGCCATCGGTGCTTCCAAAGCATGGCGCGAATCCGGTGGGAACCCCAAGCGAGTAGTGCTAAGTTAGATGGTTTTTTGGGAAAGTTCATACTCCCCCGATAGATCAGCTGGTCACACTCGACAGGTGACGCTGACTAGGCTGTGTGCTCCATGTGGCAGAGGACCGCTTGCCCCACATATTCTTCTTCCTTTATCCATGTGTCAGCTAGGGACAACCCAGACGCGACCAGTTCATGACTTGGCAGCGAAGAGTGAAAGCGCTTTCAACTCCACCTAGTTGATACAAACCACGAACACCTCAATTTGCAGAATAGTGCGAAAGAGATTGCGGGGCGTTCGGTGTTATGCGGTTCGCCCTCGTGCATGAGGTTCAAAAGACCCTTACTCTGCTTGACTGTAGACGTTGCAGACTATGGTGCCTAACTGATGTCAACTGATACCACGAATTGATGTTCGCAACTTCAGTCTATCTTCAGGTGATCTAATTTAGCGCGTGAAAATGTAGGCCCTCGAAGCTTCACGCAACAGCTCGATCCGGTCTTTTCAACCTTAAGGATTTAAATAAAACTACTTAAACTTTTTGGTTGTGAGGTGATGAAGTGTCAGTATCCGCACTAATACTTCTCTTTCTGATGATGGTTATGATAATCCTGATGAACTGCCGTTCATCTGCGAATGGTTGGAAGCACTTAGCACCCCGAGCTTCCGAAAATTGAATGGGCTAGAGACAGATACTAATTTTCGAAGGTACGCAACTTCAATGTATTGGTCCATCTGTCCGGGTACGATCATCGTTGGCGAAAGGCCGTGAGATACCTCAGCAGTTAAAGCGAGGAAGTACTGACTGAAAGTTCCGTATGTCGAAACCAACTGGTTTTCCGACCAGTCCTATCTAGGTCTGAACAGCCTGGTAGTACCCCCCCCCCCAAGTGTTAGCTGGTGATGTCCCTTCTAAATTTCTGTTTCTTCTACGGTCGCTATATGTCAGCTTCTATGGGCAGGTGTAGGTGTGTACCAAGCTGTCGCTTGGGTTCCCCGCGTCTAGCGGTATAAGACATGAGTACCTTCCTTCACCATTCATCCTCAACTTCGTTAGTGATGTGCTGCTTGGAACTTCTCTGCCTGCCTCTGAAACCCCGGGGTTGAAATGTTCCTAGGGTGTCTTCCCAAAGACACGGAGCACGTAGGTAACATTTTCTCTTCCGGATTCATATCCTTCAAACGTGCAGGTTACTTCAAACAGTATCTCAGACGTCACGCTTCCGACAGTGGTGATGATATATTAACCTGTGTGCTGTTCGGAGAACTCATTCGCAATGTTTTTAGTGGGCTGATTAATTCCTCCAGATGTTTCATCCTATCAGCCTTTTGTTTACGTACATACGTTCGGATCCGTACCCTCATAACAAGAACATTCCTGCAAATGTGAATTTGGTGCTTTTAGCTAAAAGTGGATATTTCAAATATGCTGAGTGTGCAGTCATAAATTCCCTTCAGTGTGACTTAATAAAGTGCCACAACTTCCCTCACAGTACCGGCTCTACCTACTGTTTTCATCCCAGTATTATTTTCCATTCTAGTTTTTGTGACACGTGGGTGTTCTTGGAGCTCAGTCGTTCCTCGTGCCTATACTTTCGTAAGGGATGATTTCGTTTCTCCTGCTCAATTTGATGCTGTTTGTTGGATCATATTTGGCCGGGTGTATTCCTATCTTGTTCAACTTTCCTGCGGTAAGTTTTGGTTTTTCGCCCCCGCCAAGCAACAGTGGAGCACTGTGCCTGGTCAGTGATAATTGTCGTTCAGCTGTAACACCCTTTCGGTGTCTAGCTTCTATGCCACCCGAAGGAAGCACGAGGGCTTGGATACTAACAGGTTTCTCAGGCCTAGATAGAGGAAGTCTAGATGCAGAGGTTAGAACCATGGACCTTTTGGTCAGTAAATTCGCGCTCTAACCACTGATCCATATGGCTCCCGGCCGGTAAGAATGACATTGATAATGATGTTAATCAGTCAATGATGAGGCATCAGTGTTTTCTGATGTATTCTTTGTTGCATCTGACGCTGTTTGGTTTACCTAATCATCTTGAGTTCGGTTGCACTTATTTGTGTTGTCAGTTATCCCCGAAATTCTTGTACGGTAGGGCTTTACCAGTTTATAGAGAGAGTGCTGGCGAGATGGCCGAAGTGGTTAGAGCGCGAATTTACTGACCGGAAGGCCTGTGGTTCGAACCCGACCTCTGCCACTCGACTTCCCCTGTCTAGGCTTGGGCAACCTGGCAGTATCCTAGCCCTCGTGCTTCCTTCCGGTGGCATAGCAGTTAGGCACCTAAAGGGTGCTACAGCTGTATTGGTCTTCAGGGGCCGGTGAGTAAAAACCAAGTAGTTCAGCCAGACTGTGGAACTTTTGAATTAGGATTGACGGCTTTGTTCAGTTAATTGTTTAAACTGTTGACAGTGCGCACGCGGCTGGGTTCATAGGCGCACATCTGTTTCTTCTACTACGACAAAACACAACTATACCAGACGACTTAGTAATAGGGGGATATCTTTCCTCCATCGCTAGGAAAGAAGACAACTTAAAAAACTACGCAGGAAACCAGGATTCACCAGCACTTAAAACGACCTGTCTCAACAAGCTATCAGCATGTGAAACAGATAGTTCATTTGAACAAAACGACTGAAAATGACAAACAAACAGCACCGTGATGAGTGACTGAGGTCTATCTGTTCACCAAAGGCAGTGTGCTGTATCATATATTATCCATGTAGACCTGATAACAGAATATGTTCCGAACTATGGAACACTATAAAAGTTGGAGTAAATAGGTCATATCCGAGCAGAATGACTTTGGACCATCAGTAGTCTGTGCACAAGCCTGTTATCACGACATCTTACGCTACACAGTTACCCCTCTGAAGAAAGTGCAAGGGGCACCTCCTGTGCCCTCTTGTAGGATAGACGGAGAAGACTTCAACCAAGAAAGATGGTCCGCGGATAGCACATCAGAACTCTTCTTATTTCCTTTCTACCGCCCTGCAAGCAACAGAACGCAGTACAAGGTACTGGAAGCAACAATACTGATTATAAAGTTTCTCATAAGTTTTGATTGTGTTTACGATGCTGCGACGCACCCAGACAGTTTAGAACCACACTACCGTTAAACCACCTTTGTCTTTAATTTTAAAGATATGCCCCATTTACTTCGATCCTCGTAGTTTTTCAGTGCATTTGTCCTAGTCCAAAATATCCGTCTTTGAGTAGACTTGTTCCACACTTTTCCTCTCCGCTTTCAGGCTAGACTTCGATTACTAACTATATTTGGCGCCGGCCTTTTGTTGGGTGCTGCTCTGGTTGTCATCATCCCTGAAGGTGTCCACTCCTTGTACACTGCAAGTTCGCGTTCTCATGCTGAGCATACCCACGACAGTTTGACAAACCCAGACAATGAGCATGCGAATGTCCGCGTGAGTCTTTACAGTGACCGTTAACGTGCGGTTGTTCTCTGCATGTTTTTTATAAATGATTTGATGTATTATGGCTGCTTGATTCGATGCTATGTTTGGCTGTCATTCTTAAATTCGTACGGTTTCTACATCTAGCGTTACGTCAAGCCTTGAACTGCTGGATATTAATTCCTGTGTGTCAGGGGCGTTGGCGATAACTTTGAGCGAATCGAAACATGGTGCATGATGCAGGAAAATTTGACTGTTGTTGTTGCAGCTCCATGGGCAAAAGGAACATTGTGTACCTTAATTGTCCGACTACTGTGACTCCTCATGTGAAACTCAAATGGGCTTTCATTTGTCTTTCGAAGCAGCCATCGGAGTTCTAATTGTCACAAATGTGGTACACTGTCTCACTTCCAAACGTTTTACAAAGCTTTGCCATCATCATTATCATCATTGTCAGCGTAACATCAGTGTTCACTAATGCTTCGCGCTCTAGAAGCCTGATTTATTTGAAAGCCTTATTGTNCACGCCGTAGCACTTTTTCCGTTCGCGCTATTACACTTCATCGTGCACAAATTTTCGCTCTGGGTGGTCTCATGATTTCTGATGGCAACACGTTCTTTTGGAACCAGTTCTCCCTACTTGAATGCAATACAATGAAGGCCTTCCATGTTTCGTTCGCCTTGCTATCCACTAGGGATTTTCAAACTCAGCTCGAAGACTTTGTTCCATATTTAAGTAGGGCCACGGGTGGTATGCGGATTTCGCCTGTGAAGCTGGAAATAACTGGGGAACCTATTTTCCCGAAACGACATTCGTCAGTCTGTGGCTAAACTGCTCGATGCATTGTCCTCCCGAACAATCATTCAGCCAATGTGTTCTTCATCACAGGATGTACGAATGGTTACGCCTTAGAAAGTTGACAACAAGACACCACGAATCCCTTAGCGACTACCCTCTGACGCTCAGTTCACAGCCTCTCAACATTTGAACTGTGAGAGATTCCAATATAGACCTAAAAGAATGCGTTTTCTCAAATTCAACTAGACCAGTTTGATTTTCATTTAGTCTTTTTATTTCTGTAGCCATTTTTGCAATCGGCTGTGAATACATCTATTCCGGGACAAAATGGTGTTTGGTCGTACTAGGGTGATGATGCTAGACCCTTCTCTTCGTGGCAATCAGAACAGCGTTTAATCGCTCCTGTGTACTCTACCACAAGGAGAAATCCCTCTTCAAACTGGTCACTTAATCGATTCCGACCTAGCGGTTTATCTTTGGAAGGAAGAAGTGTATTGATCGGACACTCTGGGTTATGTTCTCCACGATTTCCTACTCTAAGAGTTACGTTCAGGGAGGATGTTTTCACCGTGTAAGTCTTAGGCAGAATTCCGCACCGATACCGCTTTACCGCTTGCGGTTAGGCGCTGCTACGGTCAAGAAGCCTATCCCTCATGCGATTGGCCAGAAGACTAGCCGCTTGCCTGTCTAGCATCTAGGCGAGCTCCGATTGGACGAAGGTGTGAGCCCAACAGTTAATAGTGATGCGGTATCCACCACTAGCCCATCGGATAGCCAGATGCTTAAGCAGATGCACAACCACTAACCGACCGCTACGCACCAGTACGCTCCCCAATAACGCAATGATGGTAATGAAATGTTTGCAATCAAATTACCCAGCTCAGCGAACGACCATCTACGCTACCTGAACTACCAACATTTTTCCCTATAGAATGCTCGCGGAAGCTCACACCCCATCCTATCCACTTTCATTTCACCAAAACTAACAGTGGTTTGGTTTCAGACACTTAAACCAGGTTGTCTGTTTTTAGCAAACTTATTTAAACCACCCCACTCTTGCCAGTCCAGTCACAAAAAGCAGGTTTCAGCTTTTGGTCACGTGTGTCAATTCTCACTTTGGCCAAGCGGAATCTATCACCGACGAATTTCCGTTAATGGGATCGTCATGTTAGCGATCCCTTAGAACGGGCCGAGATGACTCAGTGGTTAGAGCGCGAATTTACTAACCGAAAGGTTCGTGGTTCGAACCTGACCTCTGCATCTCGACTTCCCCTGTCTAGACTTGGGCAACCTGGCAGTATCCCAGTCCTCGTGCTTCCTTCTGGTGGCATGGCAGTTAGGTACCGAAAGAGTGCTACACCTGATCCCTTAGCACATGGCTATGTGTAACGAACAGGAGACACGAAGACCGACTGACTGATAAGTTACCCCAACTGGGAGCAGTGCGTACGTAAGAGATTGACTCTAGTTGGGGACGTATGTTTTGATTGATTACTTTTCACACCTCACAATGTACTAAGTGCTGCAGACCGCAGGCATCCTCNTGCTACAGACCGCAGGCATCCCCTCAGACACATGTTTGTCTGTTGACAGTTCATGACATTGCTGACCCATGAAATTGACAGTCTGGCTGACCAAGCCAGAGTTGTTCAGCTGTAGCAGCCTTTCGGTGCCTAGCTGCAATGCAACACGAAGGAAGCACGAGGGCTGGGATACTGCCAGCTTGCCCAAGCCTAGGCAGAGGAATGCGAGATGCAGAGGTCGGGTTCGAACCGCGGACCTTCTGGTCGGTAAATTCGCGCTCTAACCACTGGGCCAGATAACTATATTGTGCTAATCAACTTCTCATCTAAAAAAGCTGTGTCTCATATATTTGATCACACTACAACTGATGAACGCAATTAGCTCGGCAATCAGCAGTTTGTGGTATGAACATTTCAGCTGACAGTCTCACCACTGAGTAGAACTACAATCGCCCTTCCCATCCGAGCTATCATTATTCATGGACTTTGATCTTTGTTCAAGTGCCTCCCAGCTTGCATTGGTTTTGATTGCTACATCGAACCCCACCAGCCAATCAGCCTAAACAAATTTCCGTTTTTGTCCTTTGGTTCCTTCGAACTCGCCATTTCACATTCACAGTTTACAAGCAGTCTTTGCTGACTTATCCTTCGTTCACTTCTCTCTGTTCGCAGAGTCGACGACTAGCTGAAGCAAAAGAACAACAACCACCCCTCGATGGTGTGGGTGCTGCCCCTCCCATTGCAGCAGCCATTGACCCAGGACAATCCAAGTCTAGAATTTTGCAAGACAAGGAGCACGAGGCAGCCTCCTATCTTCCTTTCAGTCTTCTCAGCATCCACCAGCATGTTGGGATCGCGCTGCTCTTGGGCTATTTATGCATGTTATTTGTCGATCAGCTAGGCACTCGCCTTCTGGCAGCACCTTGTTGTACCTGTCTTCTACCTGGTCTATTTTCCTGTCCGCGACGTTGCTGTTTTCGGACCTCATCAGGTACCAGTCCTGCGGTATCAACCAGCGGATGCTCCGCTTCAAACGGCGCCGGTGCTGGCCACCAGCGGGCTACAGCAACGCTAGGGCTGGTTGTCCACTCCTTTGCCGACGGATTAGCCCTGGGGGCCGCGTTCGCTTCTGAACAAGTCCAGTTGGAACTGATCTTGTTTTTGGCCATTATACTTCATAAGGTGGGTTGTATGGCGTATTTTCTTATCCTTGAACGTCTACTCATGCTCATATTAACTAGGTTCACTGCTTTTTCTTTGGTTAACCGTGGGAAGGTTACAGACACGTGATTATATTGAAAGTGTAGTGCAAATGGAATTCACAAAGTACGTGCTACTACTGACCCTGAGAATTGTAGTTATTTAAATTCTCTTGGTGACTTGATGTACCTGGACCCGGGATAGAACCTGGTGAGCGGTTTTTGTGCAACCGTCTCATCTTTTCTAAGACGTTTCAAGCTTAAAACCCGATCCATTGCGAAGAGACTGGACCTTGTTACGGTGAAACGCTTTGCGTAACTTTAGCTATGCTAGAGAACGCCCATTCAGCATTCACATAGTTTGTCCTGCCGTGTTGGAAAGACAGCCTGCGGCTGCATCGTCCGTCTTGTAATGCCAGTGATCTCGTTATCTATCTAATAACCCCTCTACTGTCTCACGCAACAGTTTCATTCCTATGTATTTCGAGGGAATTTGAGCATGTCTCCTCGGATCAGACCCTTTTGGAATCGAACTAGTTTAAATGACCCAAATATTTCTGCACAATTCGCTATACGCTTCGCATCTGTAAAGTGCGAACTGTCACTTCAAGATTGGGTGCGATCGAACCCAACCTCATGCATGCAGGTAAACCGATGGATGTTGTGGGTGAGTTTTTTTATGCGGACGGATGTACGGGTCCCGATGGATTGGCAAAACATAAAATCACTTCCCGATTTGGGAATGCCAGGGCAGTGTTTACTAACCCCCGATAGTTGTGGTACCGATTTGATATCAGTTTGACTACCTGGGGGTTGAGTGTACAACGCCACGGTCTGAGCTGTCCTACTTTGTGGATCTAAGACGTGGCTGCTGCCGGCGGAAGATATTCAAATACTTTCTTTGACCCCTGATGTCTCCGAAACGTTGCGCGGGCCTAGTGAGGACACCCAATCAGTATCACTGAATTATACCAGAGGGTATTCGGGAAAGTCCACTCTCTGTCGGCAGATCAACTGGTCACACTGCACAGAGTACGCTGATTAGGTGTGTACTTCTTACGTCAGAGGACCGTTCGCCTCATAGAGTCCTCTTCTAGTCGTGTATCGGTCGGTTCGTGACTTGACAGCGATGGTTGAAAGCGCTTCCGAGTTAGCTCACTCGACTTGGCAACTGTCGTCTCTTCGGATGCGGACGGCCGGACGAGACATTAGTAACCCTAACAGATATGGGTGTGTCACGCAGCCAATCGTGGTGTTGCGTTGAATCTATCGCCTTCACTGCGTATCTCACAATCCCTGGCACGCTGGACAAACAGATCCATTTGTCATCAATGTACTGGACGGCCACCGCCTCCGACAAGTGGCTGTCATGCCGCTTTTTTGCTTACCCTCGGTGAACGAAAATGTATCAGTGGGAACCACTGAATTCAGCGGTCTTGGCAATCGCTAATGGTCACTTGATTCGGATGGGCAGGTTTGGAAACCACCAGCAGAGCTGTTCTAACGTGTTGCCTTGACTCTTCTACATGCCGGTTACCACTATTTGAGTCCATCCTAACCGGTTTGAGGGTCTCGTATTAGTGTTTTGGAGACAAAACTAAATCAACAGAAATGTCAACCGGAGCTTCATCGACAACCCTGTCTCGGAATGATGGTTAGAAGTCTTCTGGTAGATGGATTGAGCGCAGTGTTTCATTTGGGCGGTGGCAAATAAACCAGTGTGAGGATGGGTGAATGAAAATCCTCTATGGCGAACCATCGTTCAACTGTAGCACCCTTTCGGTGCCTAACTGCCACGCCACCCGAAGGTTGCACGAGGGCTGGGATACTGCCAGGTTGCCCAAGCCTAGACAGAGGAAGTCGAGAGGCGGAGGTCGGGTTCAAACCACGAACCTTCCGGTCAGTAAATTCGCCCTCTAGCCACACTTTCCAGTTGTCCATGACGAAGAAGAGGGTTTGTTTTGAGGAACGAGCTTGCGGTATCCTCGTTGTCTAGACAAACTTCTAACGATGCTGCAGCCTCTCCGATGCCTGGATTCATGAGCTCAGTCTTCCACGCTCTCTTGGATGCCGGTCGACTTTGCCGTCCGACTGCTTATTTTCTTAAAAATTCGCAAATTCTCCTTTTTGTTTTTAGTGTGAAGAATTACCTATCACCGCACCCGTCATGAAGTGTTCAGCTATGGTCGTAATGCAGGACAGTTCAAGACATTAGGCCGTCAGAGGCACCTGTTTGTGGCATATTAATGCTTTGCATGAATCGTAATGATAATGGTGATGGAATTTAGCAACTCATTGCACAACATCAGTTGTTTTTTTTCAATGGTGCTGAGTTTTGTGGTTAATTTCTCTGCTGAGCTTGGCAATTTTGTACCAATCGTCTCGTCACCAATCGAGGCGACATCATCAGTGCGTTGTTGTGAAGCGGATCGGGACCGTGCGTTGAATAGTTGTGCGCGTGGGTCTACTATATACATGTTTTTTTTTGAAGGGGATAACCTCGTCGGATAATTCTCCTGGTTGGATTCTTCATTCGTGTTCTGACTTTGAACTTAACCTCGCCTGCAGAACTGCCACCTTGATGGTAAGAAAATTGGCTATGGTAATATGGTTTATCCTGTAAATTTGGTGCAATTGAGAGATTAATTCATCAATGCCGTCTTCACATTGCATAATTGGCACAAAATGTATGCATATGAATGTCGTAACCGGGCACCCTGAAACTGTTACTTGTCATTCCGAATCTGACTCAATGTCTACTGAGAGTGCGTGAGTACTAAAAACACAAAATGAAATCAAATATCGGTATCCTCTTTATTCAGCGGTTGCTGCCGAGTTTCAGGCGAACAGCACGGTTTTTGAGGTGTACTGATATCCTATTGCTTAGATTCGGGATCTATGGCGACAAGAATAATCTACGATAACGGTCATCTTTTGGATCTTATCCAACATTATTTTGAGGCAATCCACAATACTGATTATTTTGTGGTTGTTGGACGTTTTCGTGCGAGATGTTCTCCTTCAATACTGTGTTATTGCAGACAAACGACTGGACTAGGGGGAATCGTTCTTTGTCTTGAGGACTTGGACTGGTACTCGGTTTCACAGTGGGTTTTAGGTTTTTTATAGTGGGAGACCCAATACACCGCTTATCGGATTTCTTGGTGAATCGAAATCAGTTGATGATCAGTGGGAGCGCACATTGGTCTGGTAAAGTTATTCAGAAGAGTGATTGTTTTAGTTTCGGTTAACTTGGGCAACCCTCCACAAGTAGTGTAGAACCTTGAGACACGTCACACGGCGAGATGGCTCAAGTGGTTGTAGCGCGAATTTACCGACCGGAAAGTTCGTGGCTCGAACCCGACCTCTGCCACTTGACTTC